ATTATAAGAGATTAATTAGATATTATTTGTATGAATTTTATAGTCAATGAGGTCAAAATGTAAGAATATATAGATAATCGTTAAGGTAGTATATAAAAAAATCTTAATATAATTAATCTATTATACAATATCCTTAGGTACATAAAGTTTTACGAGTGATTCCATCAAATACATTATAAAAACTCACAAATAAACTATATTGTGCCATTTTGGGAACATAGCAAAAAGCCACGTTGCCAAAAACGCCAGAAAATTGGTTTGGCAAGTGTTAAAAACGCAGGTGTAAAATTACAAATTAGGACCTATGAAAAAAAAATAAAAAAAAAATTTCTTATGTTGGGTAAGGGTATTTTGGTCATTTTAATTTGATTTAACACCATAAATAAATATTAAACTAAAAAACAAAAAGTCAGCTTTTTACCAACTTCCCAAATCACTTTTCAAAAAGCTAAAAAGCTTGGTAAAAAGTCAAAAGTCAATTTTTTACCAACTTCTCAAAACACCCCATTATTTTTAACATGGACCAGATTAAATTTTTTCAATAATGTTATAATTTTTTTTTGAACTACAATAATGTTAGAATAATCATTTTTTTTTATCACAATTTATTTATTATCTTAACCACTCATATTTGATACTAATATAACACCGACACATAAAAAGATAAACAATAAATATGATCACCATAATATTAAAATTGAAAGGGTTATTATGTAATATATTAAAACAAGAAAAATGTTTGGGGGCCCTAATTCTGTGGCTCAAATGTGGCTCAAATGGCCAAAACGAAATTTTTTACCAACTTCTCAAAACACCCCATTATTTTTAACATGGACCAGATTAAATTTTTTCAATAATGTTATAATTTTTTTTTGAACTACAATAATGTTAGAATAATCATTTTTTTTATCACAATTTATTTATTATCTTAACTACTCATATTTGATACTAATATAACACCGACACATAAAAAGATAAACAATAAATATGATCATCATAATATTAAAATTGAAAGGGTTATTATGTAATATATTAAAACAATTTAACAAAAATATACTTATAAAATAATTTTTTTGTAAAAGGTTGGAGGGACCAGGAGCCGCCGACCCCCTGCCTCCGCCCTGAATATAGCGATTGAAGAAAAAGAAAGAAATGATTAAAAAAAGGGGAAGACAAAAAAAAAGAAAAAAGAAAAAAAGAAAAAGGGGGGAAAAAGGGCAAAGCGTGAAGAAGAAACAAGTGTCGAGCAACAAAGCCTCGCGTTTGCAAGTAGAGATTGAGAGTATCTTTCATGTGGGTCTATAAAGTGCCCTGGTAGTGGCCTAGTGGCCCATTAATATATATGATGATAATATATTACAACAAATTTTAATAATGTTAGCATGATATTATTTTTTTACAAAAAAAAAAAAAGCATGATATTATTTGTATCACATTTTTTTTTTTTTTTTTGTTAATTGTAACTTATTAATTATGGTCAAATTCAATTATAGTTTGTCGATTGAAATCACAAATTATTTTCAAAGAATAACTTTAACAATATTTGTTTTATTATTATTATTTTTGTTGATAGATATCCTACCGTAGCATGACAGATGTGTTAAGGACGTGGCATAATGACATGTTAAATGGAATGCCAAAAAGTTAACAATTGTAGCAATTTGAAAGTTAGTTACTGAATCAAGATCAAATCAAGTACTAAATCTGTAAAATGATTTCTATCAAATATGGGATATGGATAATGTTGAGCAAATTATGAACTTGTTGAGAAAATCGTGGAGTTAGGTTATCTCTTTCTCTCATGTGGCTAAGCCTATAAATAAGCCAAGAGAAATACAAAGATCATTTGAACCACCATTCACAAAACGTGATATTTATCTAGGAGTAGATTAACTTGGCATTTGTTAGGAGTAGATTAGCAATAGTTTTTTTCAATTCCCACTTCTCTTCTTTCTGTCAATTGCTGTATTTTTCGTTTCTTTTCTTGTTTGAGTTTGTATAATTGATAGCAAATGACAACTTAATTGAATAAATACATATTATTTTATGTTCAAATCCTTCTTTGCTAATTACCTCCAGAAAAGTCCTTAATCTGTTTAAGACATAAAATCCAACTACAAAATTTAATCCTTTAGTATTTATTAAAATTTATGTAAACTTGTCGATGAATCACTGTCGAACTTTTGCTGACAGATATATATTTTCTTTGCTTTTTTGGAACTTTGAGATGTTGGGTCCATTCATCATTATCTGCAACTTTTCTTAATCAATTCACTTATTTCAATCTTGGAAAACTTTAATTATTCTTGCTAATTATTCGTGAAGTAATGTTGTAAAATTAAATTTATTAACTAAACAATATAAAATAAAATTTAAAGTTTTATTATTACATGTCAAGTAATTAAATAAAAGATTATATTAAATTTATTAATTTGTATGATATTTTTTGATTTGTCACGATCAATGTTGTAATATCCTACATATATGCTTTAACTTACTTTGCTAAAAATTAAAAAATAAAAAAAAATTATTTATTCATTTTGGATAAATACAGAAAAAAAATCCTTCAAAAAGAGGTAGCTAGGGGTGCAAGACACCGAGGGGATTTGTCAACTAAAGTTTTTTCATTTCATTTCATTTCGTTCTATTATTTTTTATTTGATTTATTTGATCATTTTTACTTTATTTTTTCTTGGCATTTTAACTGTAATTGAACAAATATCCTTTTACAACAAATGTTGGAGTCATCACACACACACAAATTAAGATCATCATAAAAAAAGAAAAGATTTTGAAGAAGTGTCCAGTACAAAACGTGCAATTAATTAATTTACTAAATTTAAGGTCGTGCTCATGAATATGTGCTCCCATTGGTCCAAGACAGACAGCTTCTTCATCACTGAGAACACTAGATTTGCTCTGCTGCCACTCTTTAACATTGATTTCCATGTAAGAAACATTAAAGTTTAGGTTGAAATTTAAAAAGAAAAGAAAAAAAGAAAAAAAGAGTGAAATGTAAATGGGATTTGTATTTTTAATATTTTTTCTGTAACTGAATTCTTGATATGTAACATTACTGGTGGATCAATGAAGAGAGGGAGGCTAGAGATAATAAACACCTTTCTGGTTGATGATGGATGAAGAAAGCACCAACTTGATAATGATGATGACGACAAATAATGCTTCCACCCCATGATCCTGATAAACTCCATATCTATGCCTATGTTTGGCAAGTTAGTTTTCAGGCTTTTGTGGCTATTTTAGCCACAAAAAACAAAATAGGCTATTTTAGCCATAACAAACAAAACATCACATCCAACCCATAATCATTACATTCTTCTCTCACAAAAAAAGTCAAAAAAGCCAAAAAGCCAAAAAGCCCTTCCCAAACCAAGCTTTTTAGCCCAGGCTAAAATAGCCAAAAAAGCCAAAAAGCCAAAAAGTCAACCCACTTCCCAAACCAAGCCTATATTATATTATATATATTATAATATAAACACCTGTGAACTCAAAAGTGAGATCATATAGTGCTTTTCTTATTCTAAAAATATCATAAAAATTTTATTTGTTTTTATTCAATTATTCATGTCTCTACTAACAGCTAGCAGTAAATAGGAAAAGCAAATTTTTTTTTTTTTCAAGAAAAGAAAAAAAAATAAAACTTGCAATATACTTGTGTCTTCACTACCTGCTAGAAGTTGATAGAGTAAATTAACAGTTAATCCATCTAGTAACTATTTAACTTTCGTCTTTGCATCACATATAACTCTCTTCATGGCTGACTAAGAATTTCAAACATAGTAAAATTACACACGCAAAGTGTGTGCACCAGCAACTAATGGAGAATGGTCTGGACCCCCCAGGGTGACCCTCAGAGCCCCAGTGAGATGTGATTGGTCAAAAAAAAATTTTATTTTTATTTTTTTTGGAGCCAATGACCAACTCCCACATGGGGGGGAGGGGGTGGGACTTTACTGGGGTCTCAATCATAATTCAGCAACTAATATATTAAGAAGTCAATTTATTTTTAAGGGTTGGGTTTAGTCATTAACATATTTTAAACGTTTGCATTTTTCATAAATTTTGTAAACTAATGTCATTTGAGCACTTGTTTAAAAAAATTTATTTCTCAATTCCAATAAAATACCTAAAGTCAATTGTCAACGGGGAACAAAGAGAAAAATATAAAGAAAAATGATTGAGAGCACTAAAAGTAGTGCTACTAATGATGTGGCTGCCTTTCTTTTTTTTTTGTTGGCATTCCTAATGTATTTGTGCTATTAGCGGTCTTTTTTTTAGTGGTATGAATCATTGTTGAATGTGCTCAAATGATGACAACAATAAATGGTGTGATTTGATCATCCCAATGAATGTTAAAATTTAATTTCTGCAAAATAAGTAAGAACTTTTAAAATTTACAAGAAAGCAATGAAACACTAATGGAAATCAAACCAACTCTTAAAAAAAGTGCAATTGAAGAAGCATAAAGAGGCACAATAGAAAGAGATAAAGTCGAAGGAATTTTATATTATTTGATAGTGTGACAAACATCATCCCACAAAGTTTTTCCTTTTCAAACTTGACGTGCCATCATTTTGATTTATTTATTTATTTTGTTGTCAAAACTTCTACCTGATCTGAAAAAATGTATCATCTTTTATTATCTAATAAAGAAAAAATTAATTTTGGTGCCCCATGCCTGGTGGGTATGGAATAGCTGCAGCAAACATAACGAATAATGTATATTTGATGTTCTCACCCCCCCCCCAAAAAAAAAAAAAAAAGAAAAAAAAGAAGAATACTTGTACATTTGAGAAGCATGATTGAATTTTCTTTTCTTTTCTTTTTTTCGCGAGACGTTTCGTGAATGACTTCCCTTTGAAAAATACTATTTTCACAAAAATTTTATACATCATTTTTTTATCAGAATAATATGTATTCTCTGTGAGTATGGAGACACACCTTTCACGACAATGACCTCACAAACACACACCTTCACATACATTAAAATTTGTATCAACTTATCACATGGATTTCTTTACTACGTGAAATACATAGATTCATAGTAGCTAGCTGCTGAGACAGATTCATAGTCAAACTTCCCACATGAATATACACATTATAAGCCATTAACAAAAAATGCTTCCCCCACATCACATAAACATTGATTATACTTAAGGAAAGGGAAAACAAGAGTTGAAAAGAAAAAGATTTTTTTTTATATATATATATAAGTTAAGCTTCTCTTCAATATATTGTATGATTGAGTGCACTGTCTTTGAGAGGTCTGTGTAGGTCTCAGAACCCAATATGGGACTCATAGACCTCTCACAATCAATGCACACTAAATAAAATGTTCATTCAGATCAAACCATTTTCTTGTCCACAATGTCCATTTGCATCTCCATTGTCTTCTCCACTTGCAAAATCTTTCATGTAACCCTCAAACTTATCAACTACACTCTCGGGCACAGACACCAGCACTCTCACAGCTTCAAAATCACCAATAACTGGTAAAAATAAGCAATATATATCGCTAGTTAACGGACCCATATGCAAAGGCTTTCCTTCTCCAAAATCCAAATCCTCTAATCCTAACTTGGACCATTGAGATATAACTAAGCTGGAGGACAAGTCTGTTTTTACTGTTTTATCCTCCAACAAATCTATTGTTGACCTCACATAGTCATCAGTTAAGGATAACTTGGCTTGTTGTACCATTTTCACTCCATTATGTAAGTTAGTGATTACCAACTCCTTAACTGTAGCCTCGGCGCATCCTAGCATGAACCCATTCCCATAATACCCCTCTACCAACTCTGGCTTCAATCGTTTTCTAACACTGATAGAGAACAGGAGCTTTACAATGTGCGTGGGCCCCAAGTCTAGTGATCTGACCCAACAGCGCCACGTGTGAGCTGCTAGAACCTCAAAGGTGGTGCATTTTAGCGAGGGGACACATTGTCTCTTGAGGTAAAGGATACATGAAGGAGTGAAGGTTAAGGATGCAGGGACTAGTGGTTGAGATTGTAGGTATTGGTTGAGGTCCAATTGGAGAGGAGGAGGACGACCATCTTTAGTAGGGGTAGTTTTGGAAAATTGGGAATGAGTGAAGGTTACCTGTGGAGGGTTACGGGGTTTTAACACGTGGCGAGAGTGAAATGGCTTAATTAGTAAGTCAGTAGTTATGGGTTTTGTGGTGAGGTGGGCCCAAGCATGTAGGAATTGTGATGTACCAATGCCGTCACATAGACAATGATTGATTGCGGTGCACAGAAGCATTCCTCCACAACGGAGATTCGTGATCTGCAATGAAAAAAAAAAAAAAAAAGGGGGGAAAAGGAAAAAAAAAAATAAAAGGAAAAACAAGAATAAGCATCATCAGTAGGGGCATTATTGTCATTCAATTAAAAAATTGAAATGGAACCAACCCATGAGAAAGAAAGAAAAAAAAAAGTCACCAACCGAACTCATGAAAGGAACCAAAAAGAGAAGCGCAATATATCATCACAGGAGTGTTGGGTCACCCATTTCTCAACAGATTATATAGGAGATCTTAAGCTTATTCAACATGGATGGACCATCAACCTTGTTATGTTAATGACAATTTTAGATATTAAATATTTGAATAATATATCATCACACTAACTTCATGGGTCAAGTCTTTTAAATAATGTAATTAGTATCATATAAAATGTCACATTACATTATATGATAATGTTGTGGCAAAATATGATCAATGTTACTTACTCAAAAAAATATGATCAATGCCCTAATCATGATTTGGAATTTTTTGTAACAAATTTGTAGAATTGATAGGAAGTGTGGCACTTATAATTTTGGCATTGTGGGACTTGACTAAGCCTATAAAATCCATTAGAGAAAGAATTAAATGAAAAATTTATTACATATAATTATTATACAAAATGATGTATCATAATTTACATAATTTACATAATTTACATATTATTCTGGAAGTATTACATATTAAAAGCATAAGACTTGTGACTATGAACATAATTTACATATTATTCTGGAAGTAATAAAGTAAATTCCAGTACAAAAATTCTAATGGTACATCTCACATATTGTATCATTAGGGTTAGTATTTAAGGAGAAAATTATCCGTTAAACAATTAGTCTTTAGCAATATATAACCATCATTAGTAAAGTCAGAGGTTATTGGATCACCAAAAAGCATCGTGGAGTCTATTCAATTTGTCATAATTAATGCTGGCAGAAAATAATATACTAACCTTTTTATCTTTTGATATTTATCTCAGATTTATTAGTTAGATAAAAAATCTTAATCATATCTTAATCACAGTAAGTTATATAATTCCACTCTGTTGTCTGAAAAATAAAATAAAATAAAAGAAAAAGAAAAAGAAAAAAGAGCAAACTGATCTCATGAAATATGAAAAAAATAAATAAAATAAAAGAAAAAGAAAAAGAAAAAAGAGCAAACTGATCTCATGAAATATGAAAAAAATAAATAAAAGGGCAAATTACTAACACTCCACTAAAATATAGATTCTTCTTGAAATTTAAGAAATTACATTCCATCTCTTGAAATTTATATTTGCATATAACATAGTAACTGAATTTATTATTGATGCCACGTGGCAACGTGTTATACTGAATACTGAATTTATACCAAAATGGAATTTATAATATGAACTTCAAAATAAAGATTTAACAAGAATATCACCTGGTTCATATGGAAACAATCAAAGTGACACGAACTCATAAGATAGAAAATAATCAAGATATGGAAAAGCCATATGAGAAAAGAAAGGAAAGATTAAAACCTGACCTGAACGACAAGCGGAGGAACATCCAAGAAGCTGCGAGCTTCAACCCTGTACAAAAGCTTCCTCCAAGACCTGTTTGGCTGCCTAGAAAGTTCAAGAAAATCCTCAGCAGTTATATCCATGAAGGCTTCAGCAAACACAGCACCCTCTCCATTACAATCAACCTCGAGCTTCTGATCATCTTCAGAGCTCGTCCTCAACCTCCCAGCTAAAGGGTAGTAATCGACAAGTACTCTAGAAAGAGAATATTTCAAGATATCAGAGCTCACAGATTTCTTGAAAAGGTAAAGATATTTAATGGAGAATCTGAGAAACTTTTGATCATCGAGGTTGGAGAGATAGAGTGAGTGGGTCGGAGTTGGGATGTTTGGGGAGATTAAGATTGGTTGGTTTGGGTAGAAACAATCTGGGAGTTCTGGTGATCTTAACATAGTAATTAATTTTCTGGTTTTGAGATGATGATGATGGGAGAGCGAGAGAGCGAGAGAGGTGGGAAGAGGAGAGGAGAGAGAGGAAGACAGCAAAACAATGGGCACAGTTGAAGAGATCTGAGGGTGGATATGGTGGTGTACGATCAGATTCCTCTATGAGGGAGAGAGAGAGTAAGGTTATGAAGAGGACATCCTCACCACACTTATAGAGCTCTCTTTTTCAATACCAGGCTAGAGGTTTTTTTTTTGTTTTTTGTTTTTTTTAGTTGCATGTGAGCCCCACAATCTCTCTCTCTCGTTTTTTTTTTTTTTTTAGGCACATCCTTTCCAGCTATAAAATTTAGAATGGGAGGGCACTCTTTAAATATGGAGAGTTTATTATATGTTTTATTTTGATTATTTAAATTATTTATTTTGTTGTATATTTTGTATATTTTATTTATATAAAAAATTAAGTCGATTGTAACCTATTTAATTTATCAATTTTTTATCAAAAAAGTAAACAACAATATATGTTTTTAAAATAAATTATATATTTTTTTAGTGACAAACATAAATAAATTAAACAAGTTATAATTATTAGATCGACCTAATTTTTTATATAAATGAAATATATGAAGTGTATGATAAAATGAACTATTCGGATTATTAAAACGAAACCCGTGATAAGTAACACCCTCTAAATTGCCCAACCTGGCCTACTTGGGCTTAGGCCAACCATCCGTCGAGCTTAGCGAACTCTAGCGAAAAATGAGGCCAAACTGGCCCACTCGTGAAAAATAACGGCCCAGGCCCAAGCCAAGGTCCAGGGGTACTTGGGCCTAAGGCGGAACGGGCCTTGGGTTGGTCCACCAGGGCTTGGGGCGGGGCTCAGGTTTGGGATGGACCTAGGTCGACCTTGACCATTTTTAAAAAAAAAAATTCCACCAAAATTTTATTTGTTTCCCACCAAAATAGTTTGGAAAATGACAGTGAACCTCGGGTGCAACCAAATGGGCTAGGCCCTGGAGTGGGCCTTGAGCAGATCGGTGGATTGAACACCAAAACACATGGCCCAAGCCCAGGGGCTCTGTGGGCCAAATTTATACTCCTACCTCCCATCCAAATTTTGAACTCGAAGGGATCCTTTCTTTTTTTATTCTTTTTTTTTTTATACCTCAAAATAATATTAATAATAATAAATTAAATTAAATTGCTATTAACACAAACAAATTACAAAAATCAATTTGTTTTTTATATCGATTTTATGATTAATTTAATTTTTTACATGATAATTTAATTAAAGCTAAATGATTAGAATAACCAAAATGGATGTGGAGTAAGCCCATACAGCTTCTAGTGAGAAATTTTTAAATAAATTAATTAATAGTTAATAATTTATAGCAGACAATAAATCATCTATTCAAAAGTTAATGGTTGTTTAGTTTCCTTATAAAAAAGGGTCTGATCGTGTAAGTAATAAATAACAAATTTAGGCCTGGTCTGGACACTCTAAAAAAAAATTTAAAAGTCAAAAAATTGTTTAAAAAATTAAAAAATTATCATTATTTATCTAAAAAAATATTAAAAAATTAATTTTACACAATTTTTCTTTTCAAACAATCATAAAGGCAGAGCATGCGGAGCATTGTTATGGAAAAAATTATACTTTTTTAGGTGTACACATAATATGGTGTTGTTTAGTTTGTGGGAGTTATCACGGGTCCCGTTTTAATAATCTGAACCGTTAAATATGTAAAACTCGTCGAGTATTATTTACATATCAAAAATCACGCTGATCGGATATCGGTAACTATATGATCAAATCAGTTAAAATTTATAAAATGGATGGTATTATAGTTAACGGTTGAAAAAAAAAACTAATCCGATCAGATAACTATTGATATCCGATCAACGTGCTTTTTTTACAAGCATATAGTACTCGACGATTTTTACATATCGAACAGTTTTGATTAGCAAAATGGGACCCGTGGTAAGCCCTCACGAGTTGAACAACACCTTCAATTCACTGCCCGAAAAGTAGGGAATCATCTCCCCTCCCCCACTCCACACATTGTCCCTCACCGTACAGCTATTCCATCACTTCCATCGCAATCTTTTCCTACACACTAATTTATACAATTTTTTAATACATATTTTTTCCATAAAAAGTCAAAAAATTAACCAAAACATTCATATTTTTTTCCTCAACTTTTTAGTTTAAAAAGACAAAAAGAGTACTTATTTAAGACACCCCAAACAACCCCTAAGGGCGTTTTGACGGTGCACATTTGCTTTCATCAAAATTAAATTTGATGAAAAAAAAGGCTTTGTTTGGTTATGTTTTCAAACTAGTTTTCTGCTTGATGGTTTGAGTATGATGTTTGGATAGAGTTGTGGAATTAATTTTCCACAACTCTGCAGAAAACTCTGTCAAACAGAGCTCGTTTTTCAATTTTTTTTCAAAATTTGGCCTAACCGGTCGTCCGGCCGGTTGACCGGAATAGTGATTTTTTTTTTTTTTTGCAATTGATATGTTAATTTTTATATATTCGAAAAAAATATTTTCTGAATTTTTTTTAAAAAAATTATGTGCTTTAAAATAATTTTGAGTTTTATGTTTGGTTATGAGTTGTAAGTTTTTGTATCAAATATCAAATGTCACATCAAATATTCCCTATTCAATTCAAAACTCTTTTCAAAACTATTTTCAAAACTCTCACCAAACAAATTTTTCATACTCAAATCATAATTTCAAATCTCACAAACTCAAAATACAACGAATACTCTCAAATCATAATTACAAAACTCTACCAAACGCAAACTTTTGTTATTCTAATTTTTTCATTAAACCAATATCAAATTCAGAATATCTTAAAATTTTTATCAAATTAAAGATGGTTGTATTTTTCATCAATTTATTATTCATACCCGTTCGAAATTTAAGGCATATACCATCACCGAACGACTGGCTGGATATTCGGCCAGTTGTCCTCTCGGTCAACCACCTCCTTGCAAAAATTTGTGAAAAAATTACACTAACCAATTGACCAGCTTGACATCTCCCGACCTACTAGTAGTTTGATACAATTTTAGATTGCTCTGTTTGCATACGTGATATCAAATGAAACTTTTATTCAAATTTAGTTTTTGTTTGACATGTACTAAAAAAATACACTTTTCTATGTACATATACTTATTTAGATCACATCAATCAATATTTATTAACATATTCTCTCTACTTTTTTATCCACTTTTTTTATTTTTCTACATATTTTTTTATTATATAAAAAATTAAAAAGTATACTTATTTAGAATGTCCCAAAACATCTTTTAATAGAAAAAAAATTATACCTCGGAGATACTCTAACAACTTAAATTTTTACATTTGTTATGACTAACAATCAACATATTTGAAGTTATAATTTTTCTTTTTATGGTAATTTTACTGTGAAAATAAGAGGGAAATGCTGGCATTTTACAGATTCACGTCGGTGACTGTTTTGTAGCAGCGCCGAAAGGCATCTAAATGACACTTTCGGTCAAAGTTTAGAAAGTCCATGCAGAATCTTTTTTTTATCAGCGAAATTTTTTTTTATTGATGATAGGAGAATTCATTCCATTAGGAGTGTTTGTTTCAGCTTTTTAAAGTTAATAAATAATTTTTAATTTTGAAAAAATTATTTTAGATTATTTAGTTCAATTTATTTCAAGCAGTTTCTGATTTTAACAGTTTATTTTAACTCAAAAAAATTGATTCTGAGAAGCTGCCCACCCCTTACTTCTGATTATCAACTTTTGTTGTGGACATATTAATTTATGCTTATTCTCTTAGATTTTTTTTATTTTTTATTTTTTTAAAAATAGAAAAATACCCAAATGGACTATAGATTATTATTATTATTTTTTATGAGAAATGTAGACAAACAAAAAATAAAAATTAATTGAAAAAATTATTTCACAGCTTATTTAACAAACACTACTCAACAACTTAAATCTATAATCCAACAGCTCCACCAAACAGATTAACAACTTCTGATTAAAGTTATAATGTATAATCTGTTAAGTTATAATCTATAAGCTGTTTTAACAGCTACACCAAATGGGGCCATTAAAGGGTTATTTGGGGTGTCTTAAATAAGTGCACTATTTATTTTTTTGGATTAAAAAGTTGAGGAAGAAAATATGGTTATTTGGGTTAATTTTTTGACTTTTTATGAAAAAATGTGTATTAAAAAATTGTATAAATTAGTGCGTAGGGAAAAATTAGGATTGAGAGTTGTGCAGTCGTAATTTTTGACTTTTAGTGAATAGTAATAATTTTTTAACTTTTTGAGTAACTTTTTAACTTTTTATTTTTTTTTTTTTCACTTCCCAAACTTAGCCTAAGAAAGGAGAGAAGTCTATGTAGAATCTTATAGTAGACAATATTTAGAAGAAAATATTTAGGGGTAATTTAGAAAGTTAGTTAAAAATTAACTTTAAATTTTTAATTTATTTTGGATTTTGTTGAGGTCTTGTTGAGTCTCATAGGACATATCATAGGCTCATTTAGGCAATTTAAATCGTTTATTTTACTTAATTTTTATGTTTATATTATTTATTTAAAAAATTAAATTAATCTAATCATTATAACTCGTGATTTTATAAATTTGTTTAGAAAAAATGAACTATTTATAAAATTATCTTTGCTTTCCAATTTTTGCAATCAAATATATATATATATATATATGTTGGATAAATTTGATTTTTTCATAAATAATCTATTTATAAAATCAAACAAAATGAACAATTCAAAATGAGGCCCATGGTGAGCCCTACAAAGGCCAATATCATCTCCAATGTGGACAGGAGAGAACTCAACTTCATTTATTATCACATATATTTCATTATTTTATTTCTCCTTGATATATTTAAAAAAATAAAAATAAAAATGCTCTTACTAAAAAAATCATGTAAGAGTTTATTATTATTATTTTTAAATAGGGTCGTAAGAGATTAAAAATAAAAATAAAAATAAATTATTTGGATAATATGTAGTAACACTTTGATCATTTAAGTAGGTTATGTATATCTCTATTATAGGTAATACAGCCAGAGCCGTGCCGTCCTCTATTGCCCACAAACCCTGCTGCCCAACTCCACAAAAGAAAATACTGCAAATAAAGTGTTAATGGAATGCATATCTGGTGTGGAAACCACCACACTTTGCCGAATTAGATGATAAAATA